GTCTAGGGGAATGGAACTGAATGATCTTTAAGGTCCCTTCCAAATCTAACTAATCTATGATTCTGTGATCTTAATCTGTCCCTTATAAGCAATTGCTGATTAGTGTTAGGCAAGTGAATAGCAAAGCTGATCATGAGATACTTCCAACACTTAGCATTATATTCCTGTGCATCCTGGCACAGAGATGAGACCCTGTCTGGGCAGAGGAAAGGGTGAAGAGAAACTTATGATCTGCCAAATGCAGTGAGGAATGTTTTCTTTCAAGCTTCAGAGGGATGAAGGGGATAGAGAAGGTTTGACCTTGACCACGTCACTGCTCTTCATTCTCAGCCTCTTGCCTAAGTGGCTGCAAGTCCACATTAGTTCATAATTGTTGGATGGCCCTGGCCATGCCCAGCAAGTATCAAGCTTTGCACAAAAGCAGGACTAAATTAGAATTTCTCCTCTGCAAGGAGCTTATAGTGTCCTTGAAAGTTTGTCCCATGGGAGAGTTACCTGGGGTTGGGGGCAAACATGGTGTTCAGACAGGTTCTTCAAAGGCAGGAACCAGCATGTCAAGAGCACCCAGTCCGTAAGTCCAGGAACAGGATCTCAGTCTGTCTGGCCATACAAGGTGCTCTACATCATGGGGGAAGTGTCTCGAGTGGCACTGGAAATGTACAGAATCACAGAATTGTTGAGGTGGGAAAAGACCTCCAAGACCATGGAGTCCAACCATTCCCTCAGCACTGCCAAGGCCACCACTAACTCATATCCCCAGGTGCCACATCTGCAATGTTTTTGCATCCCTCCAGGGATGGGGGCTCCACTATTGCCCTGGGCACCCTATGCCAGGGCTGCACAACCCTTTCAGTGGAGAAATTTTCCCAGTGTCCAAGATGAACCTTCCCTGGTGCAACTTGATGCCATTTCCCCTCATTGTGCCACTTGTTCCCTGGGAGCAGAGCCCGACCCCCCCCCCCCCTCCCCCCCCCTTCCCAGGGAGTTCCAGACCCGGAAGGTCCCCCCTGAGCCTCCTTTTCTCCAGGATGAGCCCCCCCATCTCCCTCAGGCACTCCTCATCAGAGCAGTGCTCTAATGTAACTCCTTACCTAGTGTTTGTAAGAATTGCCAAACCAAATCTCCATGCAACCACCAGGAGAATGTAACCCCATGTTGTCCTCCAGCTCTCCACATGCCAGGCAAATGGCTGGGGCTCTTGGAGAACTTGACTTACTTGGAGGGGGGATACAGGCAGGGCTGACAGGACAGAGCAACTGTGTTTTAGACCACAGCTGTCCACGTGTCTGGAGTTATTTTCCCCAGCCTTGTGCCTTCCAGCTCCTTTCCTTGGGAGCAAACGATGTAGTAAAAACTTGCAGGAATCCTGTATTTCTGAGCACGTAGGCTGGTAATCACTGAGACAGCTGAAGCCTTAGATTTGTTCACATAGGCTTCTCCAACAGAGCAGACATTTGTCAGATCTAAATTCTGTTGAAAGGTATCTTGTTTAGTTAATTAAATAAAAAAATGGGTGGAGAAACAATAGCAGAAGCAATACCATCCTATTTCCAGCTTGGCAACCCTGAGTGCCTCCCCTTGGTTTTGCCTACTTTTCCAGTTTCTTTGTGTGTCTCAGTTTCTATGATGACTGATGGCCAAATCCTCAGTCCCACTGAAGTCGGGGGAGTTTTGAAATGAATTGGAATTTGGCCTTTGAAGTGAAAATAGCTATTTAGTGTTAAATAGAGTCAAGAGATAAGAGGCCTAGATTGTGCTGTGTAGATATTCTTTCTCATAGCTGAAGTAGGGCCTCCTGCAAGGCATGCACAGCTAAGGATGAGCAGAGAAGGGCAGGGGAAGGATTTCCCAGTAACTGCACCATTTTTCTGGGGTGAATTCTTTCTTTTTTTGGAGATGTTGCTGTGTGATTCAGGCTTCAGCAGTTCCTCCCTTCAGCGTCTCAGACCTAAAAGCCTAGGTTGGGAAGTGCCTTCGTGTTCCTACCTGGTCTGGTTCTGTTGACACATCCAAGGTACCATCTTGGGTCAACACCTCAAGCTGCCATCTGTGCACCTACATTCCTGCCCTTGGACAAGCACGAGGTTGTTTCCATCAACAACCCACAGTGGGTGCATGGTGGAGTGCCCAGGTCCCCCTCTTGCCCCTTCCTGGAGCTCTGTGTGTCCGCAGCTCCTTGGTCACACCTGAGAGCAAGGACAGGTCATCCCAACCTCCCAGGCTTCGAGATGCTGTGCAGTCAAAAAAACTTTTAAGGTCTGGGCCCCGTTCTCCCTGCTTTGGCTCTTCTTCCCCACAGATCCTATTTCTTCTTGGCTTTTCTTCTTCACTGGGGTGTTGGGAAGATAAAAGCACAGAACTAGTCTTTGCCTGAATGCTGGATGATCATCTACACTCCTGCCTGCTGCCAAGTCACGGACGTTGCTCCTTGTTTGCCATTCTCCTTCCTTTTATTTCTTGCAGGTTTTTTTGCCCCAGGCTTGTTTAACTCTGATATTTTCCATCCTGTGGTCAGTGACTGCAGAGCTTTAGTCTGTGTTTGCTCTGCCCCTTGCCATGGGGGTATCACCTCTTATCTGTCCTGTACAGGGATGGAGCTATCTGTCCTCCCCTGTCCTATTGCAGCAACCCCAAACTGAACAATCTTGCACATTCCACATTGACTTAACTGGTTTGGGTTTTTTTTTTTTAATCTTAAACCTTTTTTTTCATTCACGACCCTTAAACACAAAGGGTTTGGCTTATAATATCGCTATGTCTCTAGGAAAAAGCTGTCCCTGCATGCATTTCTTGCAGGAATTTACAGCAGAATTTTAGTTCCCAGCTCATTTTCCATGCATTTTGCCTTACTTCTGCTGAAATTTAAGCCATGTCTGTGTGCAACTTTTATAATTTCTGTGCAATATTTACAAATTAAATACAGTAGCAGACTGTCTGGCTTATAACCCAAGACCTGAAGTGCAACCAAACAGTTAAACCTCAGATGTTTTGAGAGAAGAGCAAAACCGCAGAAAACAAAACTCTTGCACACTTAAGCTTGTGAGGGCTTAGTAACAGATAAGGGTTTTAACTAACTTTTATTTTGACGTTCCCTTTTAATAAGCGTTGCTCTTTACAGAGCGGTTTATGTGATTGCGTTACTGAGAGGAAACAAAGAAATGCCAGGAAAACTTGATGTGGAGGATCTGTACTCATAAAATACTTGTAAGCTCCAGAAAACAGGAAAGCTTTTCCCATCTCCTTTTTCTTTTTTTGTTGTTTGTTTTTTTTATTTATTTATTTGTTTGTTTGGGTTTTTTAATGCTCTGACATTCAGCTTGGGGAAAAAAAAAAAAAATTCAAAAAAACCCACACTGAATATCTCAGAAAACCGGATCTGGTGGTCTGAGACTAAACACAAATTCCTTCCACTGCCACGAACAAGCCTCCTCATCCCATGTTTGCCAAACATGAGCCCTCGCTCCTTATGGTTAAAAGCCAGTTGGCCTCAGAAAATAGGTTTTAACTCCTGGGGATGCCAAGGAATACAGATTCCATGGGCAGATGGCTTTGGCAGGCAGGGTTGGAGGCTGCTGAACCGCTGACCATTGAAATGTATTTGTGAATGGCTGATTCCTTCATCCGAGCGCCCTGAGCTGAGCTGTGCCAGTGATGAAAATAAAGTTAATTGCTGTGGGACGGGGTTAAAATAAAAGCTGCTATTTATCTGAATGAAGGTGGGGGTTTGGGATAAGGGATGAGGCTGAGCAGGGGTTTTATGGCTACAAAACCAGTACAGATGCAGACTGCTGTGGTCACCACAGCACTCACAGTTGTTTCCCTGTTTCTGGGGATGATCCTGGGGACGTGCCCTGTGCCACCTTCAAGCACTGCTGCCAGCAGCCTTGTGAGGAGCCAGGCATTAAAACATCCCACGTGCTCTCAGAGCCAAGACTAAGTGTTAAAAAGGCAGGAGGCAGTCAGGGAGCTGCAGGTGTGCATAGGGTAACCCTGCATCATCTCAGGTGAAGGCAGCCAGTGCCAGGACCATCTCCATCTTAGCTGCATCCTTGATGATGGCATTTCAGCTCTGCCTTCTTCACTGGGGACAGCCACGCTGCAGCCTGTTTGGAAATCTGAGATGTCTGAGGCTGCCAAAGCATTTCTTCCATTTGACTGTTGTTTTTTTGGAGACCTGCCATCTCGGCTACTGGTTACAGCCAGCACATAGGGGCTTGCTCACTCCTTTTGAAACATTGCAGTCTCTCGAGTAAACCATTTTTTGGGCAGTTCCTCCTCTTTGTGGTTGTTGAATTTCCATGTTATCCATTTGGAGCTCTGTGCATGCAGCCCTCCATCTGGAGGTTGTGGTCCTGCCTCCCCGTGCTGCCAGAGCCAAGCATGACCCTCATCTTCTTCAGCCATGCATGTGTCCTGTCCCAGTGTAGAAATGATGAAGGACATGCATAAAGTAAGGCCAAACAAAACTATTTGGTGTGGGCAAATTACCAGTTTACTTTATAATTTGCTTTTTAGTTTATTTTTTCCCACCCAGAAACTTCTGATACACTTAAAATGTTTCCCTGCAAACCCATGCAGCAGCGTGCCGTGTTGGCAGGCAAGAGGAGCAGGTGACACTGGTGTATCCAGGTGTATCAGGAGCTCCTTAAGACTTCAGAAAAAAATAACTCCTGGTATTTCTAGCCTACCTGACTTTCTGCTGCTCAGCTGGGCTAACCAGTTTTTCCCTGGTTAGTGTGGAAGAAATCAGAAACCTGGGGGAGTTTTTCCTGGGAACCAAAGTCGTGTTATCTAACTCAGGAAAAACTTCCAGCTGAAATACGACTGTTGACTGAAAGAGATTTAGAAGCATGGGTTGGTGGTAGGTTGTTAGATACCAAGAAATTGACTCCCTCTTTGTGGTCACCTGCCAAGGGCTGGGCTGTCTGGTGGGACAGATGTGATGACCAAGCAGAACCATGGAGGAATAGATGAACTAAAGACTTTCTTTAACTTTCCAGGCGACAGCAGAGACTTCCCAGTGGGAACAAGTCTCAGCAGCACGCGGATCATCAGCAAGGTGGCACCAAACATAACAGGGACCACCAGAAAGTCTACCAAGGAGGCCAGGCCCCCCACTCCTCAGGCAGGACGGGCCACCACGGCTACAGCCAGAACCGGAGATGGCACCACAACCAGAAGCACTCGCCCAACGACAAAGAAACGCACAGAAACGCCAAAGAGACTGAGAATCTGAAAATCGAGGACACCTCCACCTGCACGGTGCACATCCCCACGGAGGCACCCCGAGGCCCAGAGGCTGTGGAGAAGCAGCCTCAGCAGTACACCCCGGAATCGGAGACCAAGCGGAAGGACAGTATTCACGAGCGCATCGGGGAAAGGCCCAAGATCAATCTGCTCCAGTCTTCCAAAGACAGGCTGCGGAGGAGACTAAAAGAAAAGGTATTATTTCTTAGGGGAACCTCGAGTTTCTGGGTTTTTTTGAGAGTCTAGCTGTGGGCCATTCTCCACACAAAGGGTGGGGTGGGGTCGAGGGTCCTTCCCATCAATGCACCTGACTTACCTTAATCTCCGGGTGTCAGCGCTTCTCATGAGGTGTCTTTGTGCTTCTTCAGGAGGTTTTTTATTCACACAATTAAGGCTCTGTGCTTGACGTCTTGGTTGAGGTTGCTGCCAGCTTGAGTTCTCCAAGGGCTGGGAACTCTGCTCCTATCCATGAGGGAAGGCTTCCCCCTACCCTTGGGGAAGAGTGCACACACAAGTTCCCTCTTGATCTGCAGAGCTCATCCACTTTGCAAAAAAACATCTAAAAAAGGCAATTTGTCTGTCTGCAAGTACAGAGCTAAATCCCAAGCTTTGCCTTTTGAGTGCTGAATAGTTGGGCTCCAGTACTTTAAAGTTGATATTCATTTATCTCTGCAATGAATTGAAATACCCTTATCTTTTCCCCCTTCCTTCCAACAACCCAACAATAACAAAACTATTGCATGCAAGTGACGGAGGAGAAATCCTTTTTGGAAACAATATTCAACCACAGATTTCTGAGGAATTTGGAGATGATATCTCCATTTGCCCCCTGTGAAACTCAAATTCTTGAGATTCTTTTGTAAGGCTGGAAAATGCATCTGAGAGGGTATCTCTAATGAGATTTCCAAAATGCAGAGCAAAAATAACATGAACACATATGATTCCATGGGAGTGCATGCTGGAAATTTATACCTTTGAATGCATGAGGATTTACTATTTCTGTATGTGGCATGGGGAGGAGGAAGAGATTTTGTTAGTTATTTTTATGTTCTTTAAAGCAATGGGATTATGGCAGAGACCTTCAGTGTATTCATATTAATGCTTTTCTTGGGAATTTAGAGTCTCATAAGAAACACACACATATGCACCCACTCTTGGGTGGGCGTCATCAACACAACCAGTCTCCCGATAGGAGGTTTGGACAACTCCAACTGGTTGGTGTTGGTGTTGTCCAGAAAACTGGTTTGTATTGCATAGCACATTGTAAGACTGAGGTGGAGGTGCAGAAGGGAGCAGGCCAGAACAAGTGGGATGCAATGCCTTACACTGGGGAGAAGGAGCAATGCACGATAAAATGTTGAAAAGAAGCAGTAATTTCTGTGGTAATGATGTGAAGTGAAACGTGTAACAGCCAAGAGATGGAAAAGCTGAGAGTCTTTCGAATGCTGATGTGACATCTTTGATCTCAATTTACATTCTTAAATATATATTAAAAAGCAGGTATTTTTGCAGGATTGTTGTCTGAGAATTTTGCAAACATCAGTGCACTTTCTAAGTAGAGACACAAAAAATGTCCATTATCATGATGTCATAGAAACCAGAAGCTGGTCCAATATGCCAAAGCCACTCAGGGCATGCTTGCTCAGGACCTTCAAGGACATCTTCTCCCTGAGCCAAGGGGGAGGACTTTGGGATGGAGTACTGTGGGAAATGAAGAAAGAGAACATTTCTGGGGCAGGATTCATGCGCTTGTAGCTTTCAATGCTGAGATTATACCATCGTGCTGCTAAAAGATGCTTTGTCTTTTCTCTTTTCTCTGTCTGTTTATATGTCTCCCCTATCCCCTTCCCCCTTTGCTGCTTGTGCAAGGACAAGGGCTGATATGTCTGTTTTTTCCTTGTGTAACAGACGCCTTGTCTTTCCCTTTTCACGGACCAGGACGAAGTTACGGTGGAAACCACCGACCCTGAAAAGAATAAAATGGACAAACTAATTGAAATTCTCAACAGCATGAGGAACAACAGCAGTGATGTTGACTCCAAGCTCACCACATTCATGGAGGAGGCCCAGAACTCCACCAACTCTGAGGAGATGTTGGGTGAGATAGTCAAGACCATCTACCAGAAAGCGGTGACGGACCGCAGCTTTGCTTCCACAGCAGCCAAGCTCTGTGACAAAATGGCCCTTTTCATGGTGGAAGGAACCAAGTTCCGGAGTCTGCTCCTCAATATGTTGCAGGTAATGAGAAAAAATTAGTTGGTTAGATGCCTGCAGCATCACCTCACCTGGTCTTAACCATCTGTTTGGAGCTGAGCTGTTTCCAAATTCCCTTTGAGCCCAACTGATGAGAGAATGGAAGCGTACCTGCCGTTTTGTCTGTGGTTACCATAGAAAATGTGGCACTGAGGGCATTGTCAAGTTGCTCTTTGTTCCTATTTCGTGAACTCTACGTGGAATTACAGAATCTCACACCAGGGCCCATCTGTGAAATGAGTCAGTTTCTTGAGGCAGCATCCCCATGGCTTGAAGAGAAGTGAACTGGGAGGGTCTTACAATGTGGGCTGTTAGAGTGGAGGGTCCATCTCAGCACCAGCAATGCCAAGTTAAGTCATGGTCCCTGAGTGGGCCATTGGTTGCATCACCTGGCTGAAGGGCTCGCTCTTGGTTTCTGGTTGCAAACAAAACTGGAGTAATTTGTGTCTTCGCTCATTATTCTGTGTGGCTTGTTTACTGATGTCTGCAGAACTGGTTGGTTGTTCTGCTCCTAAACCATCAGTGACAGCAAAGTTGCAGGGGGGCAGAAAAAAAGCAGTGGCTCTGATAGCTGGTCCATGAGGTTAATGGTTGGACTTGATGTTCTTGGAGGTCTTTTTCCAGCCTAGATGATTCTCTGATAGTGGTGGATGATGGGGGAAAAAGGCTGTCCTCAACTGCCCCATGGTCTGCTGAGAAGAGCATTTTTTACTGTAGTACCACCATCAAAGTGGGGGTTGTTTTCTGAGAACCTCCAACTTTCTGCCTCTGGAGATAGAGTTGAAACCATGAATTTCCATCCTTAATTTAATGTGCATTTCCATTGGCCGTTCCCCCTACACACACATCTCATCTGGGGGACATACAGAGCTCCAGTTTTTTGACTGATATTGTTCTTGCTGCTGTTGTTGGAGATCCTGTCTTGGATGCTGTGCCTGGCTTTCTGTACACTGAGTTGGCCTTTGGGCATCACAGCAAGCAGGGAAATAAGGAACAAATTAAAATTATGAAAATCAATATTTAATGTAACCTAAGATAATTCTACAAAGTTTCTGCTCCAGTTTTGCTTCTGTAATTGCTCTGGGTGTGTATCACTCCCTATGCCCACTCCTTCTCTTCTCTGCCCTGCAAAGCCCTTGGGCAGCACACAAACCTGCCCATTGCCTGTACCAGGTGGTGATTTTCTCCAGATCACTTTATTTCCAAAGCTATTATGAATCAGAATGAGACAAATGCAGTCAGAATCAGTCCCAGATTTAGCAGCAAAGAGGCTGGAGGGAGCTCTAAACCCTCTGTACATCCCACTCTTCCCATATCAGGTCGTTCCTGTGTCTCTTCCTGTTTGGCTGAGCGACCTAAGAAATCCAAAATAAAGTCCGGGAACAACGGCCAGGGGCAGCAGGTTGTTGGCAAAATATTGAGGCTGATGAGAGTCCTGGATTAGGGAGGACTCTTCCAATTTGCTTTATTCTCTCGTCCCAGCATTTCTACCCATGCCAACAGACCCAGTAAACTGATTTGTACTGCAGCATCATGGGCAAGAATGAGTGCATTCGCATTCAGCTCTTCACAGGATGAATGCAGGAGGATAAATAATATATCTCCTATCTCCAGAGAGTCTCAAAGTGCTTCTCGGGAACATGTAGCCAGTCACGGTGTGATTTGGAGCATGGTGTCTGCTGGGGAGAGATGGGGAGAAATGAAGTGCAAAGAGTGAGCAGGGTGTGCGGGTGATCAAGTTCATGTGCTGAAGCAAGGAAAGAGATGCAAAAGGGATTTGTTCAGCCCCAACTGCACATCTTTTATAAATGTCTTCATGGGGCAAAGGGTGACAGATCACCACAGGTCAAAAGCAAAGTGCTATGTGAAATTAAATAATTTAACATTTCCTTTCTGATAGTAAAGGATTTTGACTTTCTCCAAGCACAGTTTCTCTTTCCAACCAAAACAATTGGATGCACTGACACAGATTCATTAAATACTTTGGTTAAGCCCTAAACCAGGAATTGTTTTATGTATTCAAGCTTGATAGCTCTGGCTGGAGATAGACTCAGGTATGAGGCACAAAAGTCATTCCAACTGCCTTGGTATAAAGTAAGGGGGTTGATTATCAATAATATGGTATATTGGAATTGATATATTATGTATTATCAGTATCAGTAAGGCATATTGGATATTATACCATATTATGGAGTAATGTGGATATCCTATTGATATAATAATACATTGATATCAATTATTATATACCCATATTTTATTTATTTATATATAAAAATAAATATTGATTTTTATATGTATTTTTAATATATATAGGTATATTATGATAGGTAGATAGATAGATAGATAGATACATGAATGATGATTTAACATTACCCAGCTTCAGTCCTGACCCCTCCAGCACATCAGATATTTTCCATCAGCCATTTCTAGATAATTTACCATTAATCGAAAAAAAACAAACAAACAAACAAAAAACAAACGAAAAAACCCCACCAAAATAAAAAACCAACCCCCCAAAAAACACCCCTTTAATAAAACGCCTGCTCCAGAGCAGGATTTGTGTCTCTCTAGCACCTTTCAGACTAATCTGATCCCCGGACGTAAGGAGCTCGGCTCGCTGGGCACTGGCGAGTTGGGGAATTACTCTGCTGGGGTGTGATAAATCGGGATCAACGTGATCCCCTCCCCGTGCTGCTGGCGCCTGGGGCTGGAGCGCTCGCCCCCCCATCTGCTCCCAGCAGATGCTCCTGTTTTGTAGGGGCTTGTTTGTCCCTTTCTCTCAGGACTGTGAAGGCAACAGCTCTGCCCCACCAGAGGATCTCAGAAATTAATGCATTAACCTGCTGAGATGCCCTACAGCATCCTGGTACCTATAGACAGCATCCCTGTACCTATGGACACCGTCCCTGTGCCCCACTGGACCTTAACACAAGCAACAAGGCCTTCTGCTGCAGAACAGGCAGGAAACTCTCCTTTTAACCTGGATCCTCTTATATTTTCAACTGCTGACAAGGCACTCATGCTCAAGGGTTGCACATGTTCACAGCTTATCTCAGGGGACTTTTTTTGATCCCAAAAGAGATGCTAGTGCTGCAGCACTGGAATGTTGTCACATCATCCCCCTTCCTACCAGCAGCTCCTCTAAAAGCTTCCTCCCAGCCAGTGTTGGTACATTTCGTGCTCTAAGGGGATCTGTCAGGAAAACTCTGGGTTGAATTTATCCCTCAGTTTGTGTTTTGGTCCAAAATCTTGACTGAGTCTTGAGTTTGGGTGCTGTGAACCTTTCAGGAAAAGTGATGTGGAAAGGGGAGTTGTGGAGTAGAGATCCAGTAAGCTTGGTGAGATGCTGCCATGAGGGATCTGGGCACTGCAGGGGTCATTTGGCATCTGGGTTGTCCAGCCTTGGCACTCCGCAGTGGTGGAGGCACCATTCCTAGAAGGATTTAAAAGGCATGTGGATGTGACATCTGGGGACGTGGGTCAGTGGTGGACTTGGCAGTGCTGGAGGAATGGTTGGATTTGATGATCTTGGAGGGCTTTTCCAGCCTAAACAATTCAGTGATTCTGTGATTTGGGTTTGATTTTCTCCTCGTTGAGTTTGGTTTAGGGTTTTGGTAGCAGGAGTGATTTTGAGCTGTGTGAGCCCCTGGGATAGGCCTGAGTGACTTGGGCCTGGGGAGCTTGAATGGCTGGGGACATGCAAGAACATCTTAGTGGACACATATACAGTTTCTTCACGCCTCTAGAAATACGTTCTTAATTAATACATTAAAAGTAAGTCTCCTGTGAGAGGTTTTTGGTTGTCAGTTTCACTCACTGGCATGTCCAGGCTCTTTTTTTTTTTTTTCATTTGGGGGGTGTTAAGCAATGTGCCACAAACCCTTCACATGTAACATAAGTTGGAGTACTCCTCTGCTGGAACAACCGTGCTCTTTATAGCAGAGCTGTGTCTACATCTGAGCTATGCAGAGCCAAGTGTATTATTAGAGTGGACATCACTGGCACTGTAATTGTACACTGCTCCCCTTAGCAACCACAGCCAACAGCACATCAAACAGAAGGCTGATACCTTCTTTTAATAATAATAAAAAAAAAAAAAGACAACCACCCATCATGAAATGAACATCCCAACACAGAGCAGCAGCAGAGCCTGCTGCAGAGAGCCAGTGCCTGGTGGAAATGCCTTGGTGCCAGTGGAGAGGGGCTGGTTCCGTTGCATACCCTGTGGCACATCCTGCTTCATGCCCTGTTGGGTAGGTACCCTGTGGCATACCCTAAGGCACACTCTAATGTATACCAAAATTCACACCCTAATGCATACTCAGTGGTGCACCCTAGTGCATATCCTGTTGGATACCCTATGGCATATCCTAATACACTCCCTATGATATATCCCAATGCGTTCCCTATGAAGTACCCTGTGGTATACCCTAATACATACCCTAATGCATACCCTATTACATACCCTAATACACATGTTATTGCACACCCTAGTGCCTAGCCTATTGCACACCCAAATGCACACCCTATGGCTCACCTTATTGCCTACCCAGTAGGCAATATCCTGTTGGATACCCTATGGCACACCCTAATGCTTTCCCTATGGTATATCCTAATTCTTTCCTATTGCATACTCTATTACATACCCTAATGCCTACCCTATGGTATATCCTAATGCATACCCTATTATATACCCTAATACACATCCTATTGCACATCCTAATGCCTCCCCTGTTGCACATACGAGTGCAAGCCCTATGTCTTGCCTTACTGCCTACCCTACTGCACCCCTGTCGCACACACTGCTGCACATCCTGCTACATTCCCTGTGGCATACCCTGCTGCACACCCACACAGGGCTTCTTCATTGTCTTACTTTAACCTCTTGACCCAGAAATGGGCCTTCCTTGGTCACTGCTGTGCTTGGTTCTGGTTGTAGAAACTTCATACAAACATAGAATATCCCGAGTTGGAAGTGACCCTCA